CAGTTTGATAATAAAACTTTGTTTTCATCAAGCTTGGGGTCTTTTTGACCATGCTATGCTCTTTTTTGATGAAAAAGTGGAGTTAACTCAATAAAAATGATCAAATTTTCAAGGAAAATATTATTTTATGAAACCTCTTGAAAAACATACATAAAAATATTATTCTTATTTTCAATAGGCTGTTCATAACAACTTAATTATCATTTATTAAATTGTTAAACTGACATAAGATTAAAAAAATATATGCTGATTCTTTAAAAAAAAAGAAAATGTGATGCTCATATGTATGCCAGATGAAAACTGTGCTGTGGTTTCTCCTACAAAGAGGGATTCAGGTTCGAGCTCTTGCAGAATGAATATATATATATATATATATATATATATATAAAGATTTAAGAAACAGCAGAAATTTTTATATATAGTGCTCAATATTAAAATAGAGTATTAATAATATTATATAAAAGATTATTAAACTTTTAAATATCAAATTTATGCTGTTTTCCCCGACACACACAAACAAATATATATAACAATAATCAGAGCATCTAATAACAACTTAAGGCATGAAACTAGCCACCCCCACACTCACCAGACAATGTTTATTTTTATATCAATGCTTTGTATCATATCAGAATATGCACTATTCATGATAGTGAGCACAGTTCCCCTGGCAACAAAAAAAAAATAAAGCAAAATTTAAACCATATTTATAATACAACTAATATTGTCATACTTGCTGCTGTTAGTTTCACAATGTTTCAACTGTTGAGCCCTTCAGCCTTCTTCAGGTGTCTATCAATTCAGGTAATCTTCATAGAAATCTATAGTAGACTATTCTTGTACCACTGTCCATATCTAAAGATGTATGATCTTTTTTCACAACTGCTCAGTTATTGCTAGTCCTGCTTCCACTAAGTCTGAGTCTGTACAACCCAGCCCAGAGATTGAACTCACAATTACTATGCTATCAAATTCACAAATCAATACTTTAACACTCAGACAGGGATAATTCTGAATTTAACTTTATTTTCTCATTGCTTCCTGTTTGAAGCCTTGTTGTCAAACTTAGTTCCACTGCTGACATCTATCTTTCTCTAATAGCTCCCAGATGATATTTAAATAATTAACTCTCTCTCTCTCTCTCTCTATTATATATATATATATATATATATATATATAGTTTAAGAAAAAAACTAGGTAATCCATATGGGTAAACCTAAGAAGGATAAAATCTAGAGAGCTCAATGTAAATCCAGAGCAAATAATTTAAATAAAAACTGACCCACTTTAAGGTTCCATGTAATAAATTATTTCACCACAGCTGTGGTGAAATAATTACATATTACATGGAATTTAAAAAAATAATATATATATATATATATATATATATATATATATATATATATATATATATATATATATATATATATATATATATATATATATATATATATATATATATAAACACACACATAGATGTAGACATTATAGGCTTTGTATGTGTTGAACTAACACAAATGTGCCTGAACAGGAGCCTGCAAGAGGGATTGGCTAGCCACCCTAGCAGATGGTGTGTGCTTGGATATGAGTAGCCACTCATTATGTATTTAATTATAGATAAGAGATTGTATAAAAGACAACCAATAAGGTATAATATTTCCAAGAAAGAATCTTGTAAAATGTAGCAAATAAAAACAAAAGTTAAATTCTTGATCATGCAAGAACTTCAAATTCAATCTCCATTGTGTAAGACTTATTTAGCATTATTCTGGCAATATATACACTCTTTTCTCACCTTCTTTAGAAAATGCATTTTTGAAATTCCTTCAGATTTAATTGCTTGCAGAGGCAATATTTATTTCTGATTTGCTGTTCCTAATTTTTCGAAAAATAAAAGAAAGTTGCACAGTTTTGGACTTCTGCCTTTTTCTTTTATTCCAAATTTTTAAGTTTGGACAAAATTCAAAGTCATGAGAAATAATCATTTCTCTGCAAAGAGGAGAAAATGTTTATATTGTTTTTATGCTTTAGTTTCAGAAAAGTTTCATTTAGAAATTGAAGAGTGATATTTCTTCCAAATTTCTGAAGTCGTTTAACTTTTTATTAAATAGTAACTTCAGTTTTAACAACCATAATTTGTTGCAAGTAAATTTCACCATGAAATAAGTAGCTAAATACATTTAATTTCTTTAATCAACTGCATTGAAGAATTTTATCTATGATTGATCAAAGGTGAAAAAAATTAATCTCAAAGCAGAGTAACAGAGACAAACACTGATGAGAATGATTTAAAATGTACTGCACACAGAGTAAATTAAACTAATATCTTTTTCTGAATGGAGTAAGACCTCTCAAAATCTATTACAAAATTAAACACAGCTTATAAAAGCTGAGAACTTAAAACAATTCATATTATAATTAAAGCATTCTTTTAGGTGTCATTCAGGACATTGTCGATCATGACCCTCCACAACTTCATATCCTTTGTAACTCTAAGCAATGTTTATCCCTTTACTCTTTATCTCAAACAATGTTCTACCATCCAAGCTCATTAGGTAGGTTACTTTCCTTTTCCCTCTCCCCCTCTTGCCTGAGATATATCCTGTAAGTGTCACATTTTCCAGGACATTTTTCCCCATTAAGCACTCTAGAATTTTCTCTTTCCAATTTTAAGTGTAGCATTGTTTCCTTTTTCATTAAAACTTTCTCATTGCTCACATAGTAATCTTAGCACTATATCTTGCTATATCTTCATTGCTTCAAATCTCCTTTTCATCAATTAGGAATTTGTCCAGCATTCCCTACTATATAAGAAGATTGATATCACATAGCAATTCAGCACTCTTTTCTTTATTTACATTACTCGGACTATTGTCCTCATCTTTGTTGCCATATTTATCACAATGTTTCTTCAGGTGGTTGGAATGCCGAACTGAACCCTTTATTCCACTCTCTGGGGTAGACTGTTCTAGTTCCACATGCTAGGTCTAATGGATGTCAGTTATCAGTTATCTCCTGTTAATTCACCTCTCCAAGTTCTCCACTGCCTTAACCAGGTATTGAACTCACAACTCTTTGGGTCCTGTCACTGCATCTAACCAAGACCTTTATCTATTGTGCCATATGTCCTTAAGGAAATATAGACAGATACTCTTTTCTTTGTTTTTAATGAAATTTTTCTGCATCTTAGTACTGTGATTAGCTTTTGGAAGTGTCATCATTAATTATTCCAATGTGTCTTCAGATTTCAGTGTCTCATTTTCTATCATCTGTTATAACATTTTGCAGATAGTTAAATCTCTGCACTTGCTTTATTCTGATATCTGAAACCAAGCTCTTGATAATATTGGCAAAGATCAAGCTGTTGCTCTAGATATATCGAAGGCAACTGACAGGATTTGGCATGCTGGCCTTCTATGTAAGCTTCAGGGATATGGTATTATAGGACGATTATTTGATTTAATCCAATCATTCCTGTCTAACCATGAAATGAAGGTTGTCCTGAACAAGTTCTCTTCCAGTTCCTTCCATACGAATGCTGGTATTCCTCAAGGCTCTATCCTTGGTCCTACGCTGTTTCTGATGTTCATTAATGATCTTCCTGATGTCATTAGTTCACAAGTCAGCATCTGCACAGACGACACTACCATTTTGCCATATCAGTAGTAAATCCGGCATTGCTGACAAAGTTAATCTGGCTGTTTGTTTTGAAAATGACTTCCAATCTGTGGTTGACTGGGGCAAGAAATGCCTTGTGAATTTTAATGCCTCCAAAACAAAACTACTGTCATTTACTCACCTTAGAGAAACTTCCCAGCTTCCTATCAGCATGGTTGATGCTCAACTTCACGAGAGTGCCTCACTGCGACTTCTTGGTCTTACGTTCTCCACTGATCTGAGGTGGAAAAACTATATTGAATCAATTGCTGCATCTACTGCAAGGAAAGTTGGTTCAGTGTGTCATGCCAGAACGTTTTTCTCATTTGAGTCCATCCTTCACATCTGCAAATCTACCATTAATCCATGAATGGAATACTGTTGCCATATATGGTCTGGTGCCCCCGCTGTTCATCTCAAGGTTCTCGACAAAATCCAAAGACAGATATGCAATGTGATCAGTCCTGACAGGGTATCAACTCCAGTCACTTTCTCACCAATGTTATATGGCTTCCCTCTGTCTTTTCTATAAATATTTTCATGGCATCTGCTCTGATGAGCTATTTTCACTGGTGCCCTGACTGCATGAATTTAAGTATACTACCAGGTTGGCATCTCCGTCCCACCCTTTTAATGCCAAAACCGTTAAATGTAACTGCCTATTCTACTCCAACAGCTTCTTCTCTTACACTTCCGGCAGTGGATCTCCCTTCTTCTTAGTTGCTTCTCTGAAAACTATAATCTTCAAAAATTTAAATGTAATGTCAATCGACATCTTCTGATGTCTTGATCCCCATTATTGTTTTTGTCCTTTCCTCAATCCCCCCCACTATACCCAGTCTTCTCTCTTACTTTCACTCTCTGTAACCCTTTGCATACTTGTAGCACTTCCGCCTTGCTTGGGGTGAAATGCTTAAAAAAAAAAAAAAAAAAATTCTTCCCTCACATTTCGGGTGGTCCCTCTTGCTAATGAAGCATACACATTCTGTCTTCTTACATTCTTAGAAATGATGGTTAGTTCTTTCTTCCTATTTTATCACTACCTCGTATAGGATTAATCAACTGGTTTGATTTTTTTTTTTTTTACAGCATATCAACTTTTTGAAGGTTAGTTAAAGCCAATAAATATTTCTAGATTGTAAAAATTTATTTTAGATAATAATGATTTACTGATGCATGTCCTACTAATTAATCCCCAATTGGAGGAAGAAGAGGTTGATTCATATCTTACTCAAGAGTATTTGTACATAAGTGATTATAAGAAACTTAACTAGAATTGGAACACTGCTCTCTCCAATATTCATTATTGAGTCATTATCCATTACACCATTGCCACATCTAAGCTTACAACACCAGGTATTTCTAGTCAGTCACCCATATAGATACTGACAAGGCTTAATGTTGCTTAACTTTGGTGATCATATGAGAACCGGTGTTTCAACATGATACGGCTGTAAGCCTCATGTCTAGGAGTTACTGCAGTTCTTTTTCTGTATCTGCCAACAATACAGTGTCTTCTGCATATCTTTCTTTAAGGTTGTGTCCACCATCAATAAATCCTGGTAGGACTTCTAGTTCTCTTCAGGTCACCCTGTTGTAAAGATTAACTCAATCACCGATTTTATAAACCCAGTTGTTTCAAAGTCTTCCTTGTCGATCATGATCATCTCAGGTCTTATTCAATAGCAAAAGTTTTATTCATTATTATTACTTTAATGTGATTGACAAATAGGATTTTACCTATTTGCACAGGTTATAGGAGAAATAAAGTATCAAGTAAAGAGTCAGATGGAGGAAAATTTGATTACTGATCATGTATCATAGAACAACACCATACAGCAATTACCATGAACTATCTTTTAGTTTTAACCATCTTTTTATGATTGTTTCTTGGAATTTCAATTTTCCTTTGCTCACTTCTGCTTGACAGATATGGGATTGATCTGTGTCAACTGGACATATATGGGACACAAATCTTTTCTTTTTTTTTCTCATGCTCATTTTTAATGCTATTCTTCTGGTAAAAAAAAAACAATAAAAAACAAAACTCTACTGATGCTTGAGAATTAAATTTAAATTTCTTTTACAACCAAATATCATGTAATACTGAATTAATATAACATTTTTAAGTAAACTGTAAATTTCTCTAATGTTCATGTGAGTTTAATGTGAATTGTCTGTAAAAAACATACCTTGTGCATCATCAACCATTGATTCCAGAATCACTAAACCTAAAAAAAATTTATATCTCACTTTTAAGCAATGACCTTCTTGACTTCTTTACTTTTTAAAATCTTACCTCCAACTAAATTGGTCATGTGACCTGCAAAGGACCTACTATTGAACTATGAGATTACTAACAGAGATTGCATTTACGTCAACCACAATGTGTATAATCTCAGTTTTTTGTTTGTTTTTAAGTATGTGTTAACCAGATTGCTAATTACTTTATCTTAAAACAGCTAAAACTGCTACTGATTGGTATTTGCACAAATTAAATCAAAAAAGAAAAGAAAAAAAGCTGGTGATCTCACAAAAAAAAAAAAAAAAAAAAACAGACAGCAGTGGTATTCAAATTAGTTTGAGAGTAACAGGAATTTAAAGTGTTTACTTGTCTATTTGCCCAAGTCAAAAGATGTGCCTAAAGATATACTTGTACTTTGACAATGGTTTAAATATTATTTGAACTTCTGATACAAATCCAAAAAAATAGAGATTGTTTTGATCCAGAGTAAATATATTCTTGTCAGCTATAGAGGTTGAAGACATCTTTTGGAAATTATCTAAAATTTAACACCTTTTAAGAAAATTCTCCAAGTATGCAATAAAATTTATTTTTCCTACTGTTAAAGTAGTAAACTTTACCAAGGAAGTTAAATTATATCTTTACATTGAAGTTAAAAGATAAAACTAGTTAGTTACATAAACAATTTTTTCATCTCTCATACCTATAGCCATTGTATTCCATAAAAGTCACCTTAGCTTTATTTTATTATAAATGAATACTGGAATAGACAAAATAACATATATTACAATACTTGATATCTATGCATTGGTTCCAATTTTAAGTACAAATGTAGAAAAACCAAAAACAAATAAATCTCAACAAAAGATGAAAAAATGAAACAACATAATAATAAAAACCAGTTTACTCAAGTCATTATTTTGATGCTTATTTAAAAAAAAAAAAAAAAAAAAAAAGTTAAAACTTATATTTATTATTGACCAACAATTCAATCATTCCTGGAGCTGCACATTCAAGACAATTATTTCTTGAATGACAGAAAACCTTTTTCTTTTTTTACTTTTGAACTTCTGTACATGTCAATAAACTACAATAGTTCTTCCTTATATTTCATTATTCTGCTTTATTACAATGAATATAGCAGGAGGGGAGAAAAGTGGTCTTTTGATAATTAGGATATAAGAAGCATGGCACTAATTTGTGCAAATTTATAGATCATTTTTTTAATATTATTTCTTCTATTTTAACTGGGAATTATCAGTGTGACAGCATTCTTAAAAATCTATTGATTTAATAAATTTGCTTTATTCAAATAATTTTGATTATTAAAAAATACATTTTTCTGCTTGCCAATGAATTTCAAGGGAGGTAAATCAGTAGGTCCTTTTCTGATTATGATAGTTATACTCTAAAACTTAACAGATTATTCTACTTAATATTGGTGATCAGGAACTCAGAACTATCTTTTGATTTTTTTAGTGATTTAAATCAAATGAAACTAGGTAAGAAACACAGAGAAATAAAGAATGTAACAATTATCACATTCCTTCTTTCTCTCTCTATAGAGCAGAGTTTCTCAATTTGTTTTTTTTATCTCAGGGCACACTTGTAGAATAACTAATATTCTTGGGTGCACTTTAAATTTTAATAAGGTAAAAATAAGTCATGGAATTTGAAAATAGGAAAATAATAGTCTCCTGAAATAAGTAATAAAAAAAAAAGTAATATTTTTAAGACATATATAGGCTTGGTGTCTCCAGCTTTTTAAAGATATTTTAAATATAAAAATAATTCATTAATTAATCTTCTGTTAATTCGACACACTGGTTAAGAGATACTGCTATGTGGACACTGTCACCATGCAGTGTTGATTTTTTTGTTCATATTGTCTATATCTGCAAATGCTCTAACTCGTATACTGAGCACTTTTTTTGCTTCACAAATAGAGCAAATTTTGAACTCTGCATGTGTGTTAATACACTTTATTAAAGGCCAATGCAAGCTTTGTGGTTGAAATTTTTAGATATTTTTTTCCAGTTCAGATTACTTTTCTGGTATCTGGACAGAATATTAACATAAATTGTTTAATGTCTTCTGGATGCTTTCAGCTTTCATAAACCATCATCAAAGAATTTTTTTGTGTGTCAACAACATTGTACATAGGCACTGTAGTTTTTGAGGGACATGTCTAAAATTTCATACGAAACACAGAAAATATATTTCACAACTAATGTAGAAAAATTAAAATGACCATCACAAACTGATGTGTGAAGATGTAAAGACTTGAAGAAAGAAATCCCCCAAAACATGCTATCAACCACATCATGAAGATGTAACAATTGAAAAATATAAAAGAGAACAAAATGCCTATCTTAAAAGTAGTCTTAAAAATCTATTGATTTAATAAATCAGCTTTATTCAAATAATTTTGATTATTAAAAAATACATTTTTCTGCTTTCCAATGAATTTCAAGGGAGGTAAATCAGTAGGTCCTTTTCTGATTATACTAGTTATGCTCTTTTATTTTATCATATCATTTTGAAATCAGGTCGACTGTGAGCAAATTAAAACAAGCCGGATCCTAACCCACAATCCTGAAACTTAACTTTATTCACCCACAAAAAATTTTTTCATTATCACTTATGAAAGTGAAATGTGCTAAGAAAATATTGGACAGTTGATGTTCTAACTCTGGCCAGAAACCAGAAAATGGTGAGAACCAAAGAAGAAATATATTTTTCTCAAAGAACTTCTATTGGTCTTCAAACAAACATCTATGAGAAATTGCTACAAACACAGTTAAGTAACATCTTGGCAGTGAACAGAATTGACTATGCCTATCTTAAATAAGACAGAATAACCCATTTAAACAAATGAGAAACATGATTTCCACATTCAAAAGTACTCAGTTTGACTTATTTATATACTTGCAAAATCTTATAAAAAGCAGATGACAAATGTCAGCCAGTCATGGTAAAATGTTACTTTAAAAAAAAAATTATTCCTCTTACACAAACTAAGTAATATGTTCTAATCAATTGTTGAGAAAAAGTGATTCTCACCTTGCCTAGTCAAGGGACTAGGATCAATATACTCATTGATTCAGTTACTATTTAGGTCCTAAAAGAATCTGCCTTTTTTTATTTATCTCCACCTGAAATAATTTTTGTATATGTCTGAAGGAGGTAAAAAACAAATATTATATTTTAATAATGAAGCCAATATTTTGAAAACAAAGAATATCCTTTTACTTTCTGCTTCATGGCACCTCAGCATTAGAAAGTGTAAGGCAACACCAACCTTAACCATTATTCTCTTTTTATTATGTGTGCCAAACACTCAAACAAAAGTCTCCTCCCCAATCAAAGAATGAGATTTATTCAAAGAAATCATACTTCACACATCCATTAGACAAAACTGCTTGAGAAACAGCTTGATTGTTGCTCTGTGCTTTCTGAGCAGAAATCTTTGAGTGAAAAAGCGATCTTTTGTCAAAGGAAAAACCATTTTCAGATAATTCTGAATCGACAGAAACCAAAGCAAATAGCATTATTTTTCAACAGACCACTCTGAACAAATTTGATTAAAGTTTCCCTGTTAAAAACCATGTGCACACCTCTTGAAACATGTTTATCATTTCATGAAGAAACTGATTTTTTGAATTCTTTGTAGCTACTTCCAAAAATTGACATGTCTCACCTGAACTGCTAAAATACAAGGATGAGAGAGAGAGAAAGAAAGAGAGAGTTTGGCATCAATGTTCACAGATGAAACGATTTCCAGCTTTTAAATTGATTTTTAAATAGTTTTCAAGTGCCTTTTTCAAACAATTCCATTAAGGTTTATTGTTCTTTCTTAACTCTAATGGCTGTTGGGGGTGTTTGATAGTGAAGCCAAAGAACATTTTTACCCCTGTCAACATATCAATGGTTCACACAATGGCTTGTTGTCACTTATACTTAGTAGTGGTGGTGGTGAGGTGGAGACATTTTCTTCTTGTTTTCTCTATTCTTTTCTTGTTTGGATTTAGGATTTTACAAAATGATTTTTTTTTTACAGTAGTGTTGTGTTATCAAATTTCAAAGTTATTGGATTTATGGAGAGGTGCTGAAAGGTTGTTCTCAGCCCAACCCACATCCAAAATTTGACTGCATTTTGGTCAGGTTAAGAACTTTTCAGCACCCCCATCTTTATTGACTATCACCACTT